ATTCTATTCTATTCTATTCTATTCTATTCTATTCTATTCTATTCTATTTATTGACTGTTTCCTAGTATGATTTGATTGCTTATTGTTCCCTGTGACTATCATTAAGTGTTGCACCTGATGATTCTTGACTCTTGACAAATGTATCTTTTCTTTTATGTACACTGAGAGCATTTGCACCAAGACAAATTCCTTGTGTGTCCAATCACACTTGGCCAATAAAGAATTCTCTTCTCTTCTCTTCTCTTCTCTTCTCTTCTATTCTATTCTATTCTATTCTATTCTATTCTATTCTATTCTATTCTATTCTTTGTTTTTCCTTTTGAAGACATTTCTCTTCTCATTCAAGAAGCTTCTTCAACTCTGGCCGGATGGTGGGGAGTGGAAGGATTCTGCAAGGAATATAAATCCTTCCATTCCACACTATCTAGTCAGATACTATCCAGTCAGAGCTGAAGAAGCTTCTTGGATGAGAAGAGAAACGTCTTCAAAAGAAAAAAAAACAAAGAAAGTCCAGTTGCCTCCTGAAAAAGCACCTTTGGGACTTTGAGAAAAAGAAACTGTTCTTAAGAGTTGACTGATGTGAAACTTTATAAACCTTTGGAGTTAAATAGGACAGTTGCCTTCTTTAAATTTAACCTTGCACTGATACGGCTTTGCATGATTGGCTGGCGGTTTGTTTTCACTTATAGGTGTGCAGATATTTATTATTAATATTATTTTTGGCCTGCAAAAAAATTCTTTGCCTGCTAAAACACATAATGCATTTTATTCTACACATTTTCTGACAGTTCTTGCTGAGTTGAGCATCATTTCTTTAAAATAAAACACTTTGCTGCTGCTGCTGCTACTATTACTGGAGCCATAACAGCTTTTGAAAGCTATTTGCCATTTTTTTGTTCATTTGCTGTCTAATGTTTAAGATGAAAATTACAATCTTAGAATCTTAAGTGACACCTCAATGCAGTTCAAAGTTCTTATCAGCCTTTGTTTAGACAGAGATAACACGTCTTTGTTTCAACAGCTCTGCAAAAGCAGAAAAATTTGCACCGTGTTGCCTTCAAAACCAAACAAGCACTTCATACTCCAGCTGCCAAAGGAGGTAATTAGTTTACAGGCTCTTACTGCGCTCCAGCTAAAGTCAAGAAGTTGTTTCTTTATGTGTTCAACGTTGTGGTTGATGTATTCACCAGGAAATATTGATCTTCAGTGTTAACACTTGGTCCTCTGTGAGAACCTCACCGTATTTTGAACTGTACATTTGGGGCACAAGCTGTCAGCAGATGGTGACTATCTGAAGCTTGGTACACGGTTCAGCCCAGCCAGAGCTGTCAGAAAAGGATTAACTCTCGTTGAGGAGATTGTACAAATGAACTTCCCTCTTGCTTCCTAAGAAAACTCCCAGTAGTTATACTAATTGAATTTGTTTTTCTTTGCCTTAAGTCGACTCCTTTAGGGATCCTTGGGTGGAATTCTCAGGCTGTTTGATTGTCATCCTTTCTAGACAGAATCTATCATTGCTTCTTTGGGCCACTTAGTCATCTTTACAGGCTGCTTTAAGACAACATGATATAACTTCTTACAGCCTGGGTACCTTCTCAGAACTTAACAGCTTTTTGTTTTTTGAGTGTTTTGTTTTGTTTTTTTGTTCAAAGACGACTTATTGTGTTGCATTAAGCAACACTGTATCAGTATTATTCAAGTTTGATATCTCTGAAATTCATGGTTGGTGAGAGAAAGATACTTTTTAAAACTCATTTATTTTCATCAAGACTAATTAATTTTGGCTTTCTTATATTGTGCTTTTAAAAAACTCTTCTTGGACAGCTATTCAAAGTAGTTTTGTACTTTTCTGCTAAAAAACCAAGAATAGCTATGGAACTTAATATTATCAGGATAATATATGGAGTCTTTGAGAAAGGTCAACGTAATCACAGTATTTTAGAAAAAGCCTTGGCATTTTTTTAAAAAAAATATTGTCCACGTTAATGGAAAGTTTAGGATACCAAACATTGATTGACTTCAGAAATTTTAAGCAGTGGAGATTGTTCCAGTGTTTATGCAGATCTCACAGTAAAAAAAACCCACACAAATAATATTCACTAAAAGCTTTAGAAACCTGGTAGATGGTGAGCAGCAGAAATCATGCAGTTATAACAATAATCTATACTGGATAACTTTATTGTGGACTTCTGCTTCACACATACAAAATTAATGTCAGGATTATTGCAACAAACCCAGCTACCTAAAACATCAAAACTGTATCACATCAAATGTGGTTGTTTTAGAAGTCTTACTTAGATTGGGCTTCAGTTTCTTTCGATAGTTTATAAATGACTTTGGGCATCAATTTAAAATGTAAACCGTTATCTGGGGGGGGGGGAAATAAACACCATTAATCTCTTGGCTTAAGGTTCTTCTGCCACGCACGTAAACTACGTATCTGTGCTTTTCTAGACATGCATCTAGTCATCTATTACAGAGATCAATAATTTACAGTATTTCATAATTAATATCTTTGATTTTGCACCATATAATAGAAGACCAGTTTGATTTCCTCGGTATACTGTACAGTTCCAGCTGTATTTTCATGCAAGAAGTTAACAATTTTGCATTCAGGAAAATTAGCCCATTGCTTGCTGAAGACTGGATATATAATGTGTTGCATGCCTATATTCACACACATATACAACATTTTTGCTGATTGGGTTAGTGTCGCTCAAGATTTGTAAGTTTGTTATTTCTTTACTAGAGGGCTTCATTTTGGAAGCAATGTCTGTCTTGAGAGGATTCTAATTAGCATTCTAATTACCAATAAGGGATAATATCTCATTTGTGTGCTGAATTTATTGGTGTTGAAAGTGGGTGGTATAGAAGTGTGGTTACAAGTAAACATCTCCGAACTAAAGACTTATTTGAGAACGGAACAAAGATGACAGTCCATTAATACATCAGACTGCAAATGATTTAGACCTCAGACAAAGAAATCCTTTTCTAAGCGCTATGCTTTCTGTTGTAAAGGCCTTTTTTGTTACTGCAAAATCACCATCTGTGGGCAGTGTGTTTTGCAGGCAAATGAAGTTTTTTTTTTTTATAAAGTCAGCTTGGGATGCCTTGCTCATAGGACATATTAGAGCATTTAAAGAGAAACTAGTATGTTTTCTTAATTTAATAGCTCTTAGAATATCAAAAAGGGATATTTTCATCATTGAATTTACTATTGTGTTTTTCCAAAAAATATTTCCCTGTACTATGCTGGAATTGTGTTTATTTATTTATAGCTCCAAGAGCTTTCAGGTTCTGCAGTTATATATAATGCTTCTCAAATATCCCTCCATTTTTATTTAGCAATTTTTCTAATTCATTATGTTGATCTTTTTCAAACCGAGTCTATGTGTTTTCCGTCCCCCAGCTCCCCGCCAGTTAACCCATTGTGTGCTCCTCAAAATGCCTTCACAATGCCACCTTGGTAATTCCCCTAAAAATATTCTTGAAAGAAAGATTTGTATTTTAATAGAATCATTGCACAATGTAAGTACATGAAGGATCAGAAGAAAAATATTCTAAAAATCTGTAACATGTAACTCAACTGTTAAGCCCACATGGCTTACATGATTACAGATCATAACCTTCCTATAGGGGTGGTTTATCATGAACTATGTTCATACTTTGAGCTATGAATATACTTGGCCCATGAGACAGTCCCATATTTACACATCATACACTCTTTGAATGTACTTTACCTTGCAAATTCATAGTTTGAATACGAATCTCATTTAATTGACGTTAATTTGAATCTCGTGCATGCATACACAATTTAAAGTATTGTAACATATTAATTAATGTTGTTTTTGCTGTATATTGTACACCTGGCTGGAAGAACTACATTCTTAGTTTGTGAAATATATATTACCCTCATTTTCTGATGTAATAGGTAATAATTTAAATAAATTTAAATTTGGGGTCACTTAAACTTCCTTTTTCAATAAGGAATTACCAAAACCTAGACATACTTACGCACATCATCCATGAAAAGTAGTTAGCTGCTGAAACAATTAGGATGAATTAGCTACACGGTTATTTGTCATTGCAGCTGTTTTTATTTGAACTGCTTCTCATTGAATTGCTGTTGTTGTTTCAACTTGATGTATTTGCTTCTCTCAAAAATGTTCAGAAATATTGGCTATTATGAAATAATACATATTGGGTGCTGTTCTACTACATCACTGATGCTTTTATGAGCCACGGTGGTGCAGTGGTTAGACTGCAGTACTGCAGGCAACTTCTGCTGACTGTCGGCTGCCTGAAATGTGGCAGATCAAATCTCACCGGCTCAAGGTTGACTCAGCCTTCCATCCTTCCGAGGTGGGTAAAATGAGGACCCAAATTGTTGGGGGCAAGAGGCTGACTCTGTAAAACCGCTTAGTGAGGGCTGTAAAAGCACTGTGAAGTGGTATATATAAGTCTATAAGTGCTATTGCTATTTGGGTTCTGTCTGGTTTTAAGCGGCGGCCATTTTACTGACCCTGAATGTGACTGTCTTCTTTTGGTGCTATTCCAGTTCCGTCTCCCAGTAAGTTCCGGTCTCCAGCAGCGCCCTCACCTCTGGCTCTGAGACAGCCAGTAAAAGCATTTAATACCCATGGACCTAATTCTCTTCCCGAAGCCACTCAGCTGCCTTTAGCAGCTCCTGCCTCTGCAAGTCCAGCCAGCACCATCAACAGCGCTACCCTTACCAGACCTGCGGGAACCCCAGGGTTAAGGAGTGGCTTGCCAAGACCTAGTGCCCCCTCCACAGGGGGAATCCCAGTGCCTCGCAGCAAACTCACACAGCCCGTTCGCAGGTGAGTGAGCCAGTTTCACTTTTTATGTGGGGGGGGAAAAACACCATCATTTATGGGGGAAACCTTCGTCTCTTGGGTAGCAACATCTCACAGAGCTAAAAAGATTCGTCTCTTATGTGTTTATTTTGAAAATGAGTCAGTTTTGTATCAGAAATAATATATTTTCAGTGGTGCATTTCTAAGAAGCTGGTAATAGAGAGGAATGTTATTTTGTGTGTGTAATTTAGTAGGGGGGACTTAAATCTACTTTTCTGCCTTTGGGTAAGTATTTTGGGATAAGATGGGGGGGGTATGGGTAGACTTGAAAGATCTGGATGTTTTATGGATACTGCAATTTTTACGTCAACGAAGGTAGAAAGTAATTTTGGGTGCTTTGTTAGGTAGAGTCGGTTTGTGATTTCATGGCTGAAACATCCATTCTAACTTCACGTTTGTTACCTCTGTCTCATACTTACTCTTACAATTCAGATTTTGGGAGAAATAAAACATTTTCACACTATTGCTGCCTTTGAATGAAATAACCGTAATTTTAGATAATTATTGCTATGTGTACCTTTTGACTTAAATCTACCTTTGAAGTTTTTTTTTCCCCTCTTATTTTTATATCATTGTCTTACTAATTTTGAGGTGGTTTTTGGAATTACTACATAGATGCTTCACTGCAAAGGCATTTTTTGGCTTGTGACAATGTTAGACTGTATACTACAAGTGGTCCTTGCTTAATGACCAGTCCTTAATGGCTGTTCAAAGTTACAGCACAGGACTTCCCAAAAGCCACTTCATCACCCTCGCAGTTGTCTGACCTTACAACCAGCTGAAAGACACTGCAATCCCCCATACGCCCGGCCGGGTGACTACAGGACTTTCCCACATGCACACACACCAGGTCCCTGCAGACCTTAGGCCTGATTTCCACCCACCCACCCACACACACACTTCCAGGTCCCACACCCACCTACTCATTTACGTTTGCAAGAGTTCCAGAAGCTTCTGCACCACTAGGACAATCGCTTCATCACAAGGCCATGCAGCTGCCATGTTTCCAGCCGCCACGTTGAATTGGCATGTCACTTGTGCCACGTGGCTGCGCAACAAACCACTCTGTTCTGCTTCCCTCACACAGTCTGCACAGCATTACGGGAAGCTTCGGGGCCTCTGTGCTTTTTGGCAGTGCTGCCTCCGTTGCGGTGGCGCAGTGGTTAGAATGGGGTACTGCAGGCTACTTCTGCTGGCTGAGAAACTTCCTGATGGAATCTCATTTTCTCTTGTTTCAGATCTCTGCCAGCTCCCAAAACCTATAGCAGCGCAAAAGACGAGAGCTGGAAGGATGGCTGCTACTGAGCAGCGAAAGTTTGTTAACCCAGCATGCACTTCTTCACCAGACGAAACCACGGATCAACATGCAGACGGATGGAAAATACTTTGGGGGGGGGGGGGGGGGGTTGAAACTCTCCAGATCTCTCTGCCTTTTAATTAGCACAAGCTGGCAGAGATTATAAAACAGCACTTTAATGACATTAACATCAGATCCTTGGTGATCACTCAAATCATTTTTATGTGAATCACGTATCATTTCTGAAGCTCTGCTTCCCTGCTTCCTAGAATTGTTATCGATGCTCACGCGGCTACAACACGGATACAACCAGGGCAGATATCTTTTAATATGCCAAAGATACATCCATTTTGAAAAAGCAGCACATAAAATATTAAAGCAGAAAAAAAATTATAATAATAATTCTTGAAAGAGCATACGTTACTTGATTTTAAAGAGCAAGGCTTTCTTTTAACACGCAGAAGAGAAATATTAACGTCGATCAAAGCAAAACATTGGATTGTAAAAATGCTACTGGGCTAGGTGAGATTGTTGTAGGCAACTGTGGAAAGATGTGTGGAGAAACTGAGTCACCACAGAACCCTTGTCTCTGGAGTCTCCCTGGGAGAGGGAGTGGGAGGAGAGTCCGTACCAATTATTATTATTATTTTTTTAAACAAACAAACCTTAGGTCTCTGAGATTTGGTAAGCGTAGTGTGCATTCTTTTATGTTGACGTCTCATATCAGGTTTTGTATAATACTAAGGTTGCCAAAAGGGCTCGTTTTTTTAGTTGTACAGTCCCAAAACTAGCTGTTCCTGGCTCAGGAAAATAGCCTCCCCCCCCCCCCTTTTTCTTTTTCTTTTTGCAGCGATATTTTTTAAAACATACAAGTCCTTTTTTTTAAGCTTCCTGGAAAGAGAAAGGAAGAGAACAGACGAAGAAACATCGCCACGTGCTTAATGCCTGGAGTGCAACTGAGCAGGCCTGTAGTTTAACATAAAAGGGAAAAGGCAACTAAGCAGCTCTTGCCCAGAGATGGATTCTAAGGGAATCAGTTGTTCCACTGATACCAAAAGCTTTATTCGTGTGGGTGATGTTTCACGGTATGAGGGAGTCTTCTTTCTCCTTTTTTTTTTTTTTTTTTGTTTAAAAATCAGCTTCCTAGAGGTGTGTTTAATTGTAAATACTTCCACTGAGGTTATTGCCCCCATTAATATTTTAACTATGTACTTTGCCTTATATTTGTATTTTGCATTGTTGGTAACAGTTTGAAAAAAAGAAAACTCTGCCACGTATGTTTACAAAGTGGTTTGTTCCTCTTAACAGTTGTCAGTTTTTCACTATTTCGCTAGTCCTTGTTGTCAGGGTATCCCTCACGCGGTAGAAAACTGTCAATACCCAAAGCCCCATCTCTTGCAGCTCCCTTTTTCAGTTTCTTTTTATGTTGGAGTGGAAGGCAGAAGGTAAGCCTACTTATCAGAAAGAAATTCAGAGTGAGTGAATTGCAAGGATTGTTTTTTTTTTTCTTTTTAAAGGAAAGAAAAGGCAGCCTCTTAGAATGACATTTCATTTTGCTGTCTCAAGTACTGAGCTTAAAAAAAAAGGACTGAGCATCGAAACATATTCTGTTTGTGGCTTGAAAACCTCATTCATGCCTGCCTCTTTAAATTTTGTGCTTTTGAATTTTACAAAAGGAGTAAATGGTTTGGGGATTCCAGTCTTTTGATCATTTTGGTAGCTTTCCTAGATTAGTGGATTAAAAGCCATGCAATTTTTACTTGAATTGGAAATGTGACCAAGGCAGGATAGGAGTAGACATCTGTTCCAGCACTCAGGCAATTTTTCTTTCTTTTTCTTTTTAATTTAAAGGAATGGCCCTTCTGTGGTCTTGCGTAAGGGATGGGACTCTGGGATCTTTAGATGCTGGGTTCTGAAGGCACAATATAAACCTTTCAGACACAAATTATCATCTGCAAGTTAAGACGTGGGCATCATGGAGACTTTGCAGAGTCCATCTCACCCTGCCACTTTACATAGTTGGAATTACTTGCACTTCTGTGAGTCACAAGCACAGTGTGGGAAGTGATTTTCCTTTAACTGGGAATGTTACTATGAACACATCCTAATTACAGTCAAGTCAGATCAAAAAGAATTGAACGGAGGGTGTCTTCTTAAATCAGGGTAGCCAATAATTGTAGGAAGAGAAGCTAACAGAGCTGCATTGCACTGTTAGTCCAGCATATTTGAAGCGCTGAACAGAACACATAAGATGTCTAAATATTTTTTTTAGGTAACTTTTACCTAGCCTAATTTTTAAAACGGGGCTCTGGTGAAGCAGATATTGCAGTCTTTATAAGTGGGAACATTCTCATTTCTACTTTTACTAGAAAAGAAATATTTAACTGAATATTTTCTTCAAACATCCAGATGTTGCCTTTTTAACCAAGCTACATCACCTTGATTTATGTAAGGTTTTTGGTTTTTATGAAGCTCATCCTTGCATTACTTTGATAATGCATCTAATTTTAAGGGTGTCATCCCCCTGCTGCCACATTGCAATAAACATCTAGCAAATTTAGATTCCTGAAAAAGGTATAGTTAGAGGAGACTTTCACATTGTCAGTTTATTTGATTGCCATGACATCCTACAACTTTCTGTGTTTAGAGGTTTGGGTATATTGAAGTGTGGAAACATGAATATGATAAACTAGTGCCTATGATTTAATTAATTTATGTTTGACAATAGTTGTTAAGGGTTTTATGAATGTGGGGGGGGGGATTGTGTCAACAGCTCAGAATTGTTGTATGTATGTAGGCAGAAAAGAAAGGAGTTCTGCTTCTAAAATTATTTAATTTTTCCTCAGTGTTTGAATGTTTTTTGTAAATGTTAATAATAAAAAGTGTAAAAAGGAAGAATATAGGTATTCTTAAAACGTTTCTTTGACTCCTTTTTGAAATAAAATATATATAAAATGAAATATTTGTTGTATCCCTAAATATATTAAATACTTTGTTCATTTGCATGTTTTCAGAAAAATTGTGTGGGCGATCCTGCCCTGTGTTCAAATACACATAATAGCAACAATCCCATTTTTAAACATAGGATGTCTAATATTTCATTCACTCATTCATTCATTTATTTCAAGCTGAGGGATCAGGAGACTAAGTAAGGATAAACTTGTTATTTGTGTTGTTTTAGTTAAATTTGATCTCTCGCCTATGTTCTTCGGATGGGATTCCCATATCTTATCACTTGGATCTTGCTAAGAATCAGGGGAATTAAGGTTCAATAATAGCTGGAGGCCACACATTCCCAGGAGAAAAGATTGCAGAGTTTGCAGGGTTGATGAGGGAGAAAGATAGTGAACGAGAGCGTGGTCCCTTTAACGTATTAATTCTCCATAATATGATGTATTATTAATCATTCATGAGACATTTGAAAGGCTACTTGTTAATACTAATTTACTTTGGAGCAATGCTAAGTACAAAGGAAAGGTGTGTCCACCCTTATAAGTCTGCTGTATGAACCCACAGCTTCCATGGTATTTATGCAGGGAAAGATTTCCTGTCACGTACCAAGATTCCTGTCACTCTGACTGTGCTTTGTTTGCTTTGCAGGAGACTGGGAGTTACTTTTACTAGTTCTGCGATAATATCTCAAAAAAACAACAACACAGAACTAAACGAGTTCATAGTAGTTCAGCAGGCTTTGGATATTCAGAGTTGCTCCGCATGTCATCAGTGCTGCTTCACCAGCTACTGAATAAATGTCCCTTGGGAATATTGTTAGAATCTATTATGGACAAGGCAGGGACAATTAAAGGCAGAGCGATACATTTCTGAGGGGACAAAGGATCCGGAAAGGTAGCTTTGCCTTCAGCCGTGAGAACAGAAGAACCAGGTTTTGTATAAAGCTCAATTGTCAGGCAACATCCACCTGCATATACCCTGTTTCCCCTAAAATATCACCTACCCTGAAAGTAAGTCCTAGCTTGATTCTTATACATGAACCCAATATAAGCCCTACCCCCCAAAATAAGCCCTAATTAAGGTCCCACCCACTCCAGAGTGGACAGGTAAAAATGAAGCTAGGGTGGGGATAGGCGTAAAGCTGCCCTACTACTTACTCTTGGACAGTTGTAGCCAGGCCTCACACACCCCAACACCTGCCTTGCCGGCCCATTTCTTCTGCAGCCGGCAAGGCTGGCAAGTCTTTCCTGAAGGCCTCTGGAACTGATAACAAAGCTCCGGATCGATCCCGAGCTCTCTTATCGGCTGCAGGAAAGCCTTCAGGAAAGCCTTGCTGGCCGCAGAAGAAGAAGTTCCTGAAGGCCTCTTACAGCGAAAAGGAGGCCGGGGGCGGTGCATGCAATTGAGGTTAGTCAGTGGATGACATCCCCCGAAAATAAGACCTGGTGTCTTTTTGGTGGCAAAAAAGTATAAGACAGGGTCTTATTTTCAGGGAAACACGGTAGTTAGTGTTTGGGATCAAGAGGGATACGATGATTCTGTCCCTGGCAATCATATAGGTAAGTAAGGTTGGGATAGAATAGGAATAGGAATTGGAATGAATAGAATAGAAAAGAATTTGGAATGGAATGGAATAGAACGGAACTGAACAGAACAGAACAGAACAGAATAGAATAGAATATAGAATGAATAAGAATAGAAATAGAATAGAATAGAATAGAATAGGGAATGGAACAGAACAGAATAGAATATAGAATGGAATAGGAATAGAATACAGAATGGAATATGGAATAGAATAGTTAAATGCATACTAATCAGCATACATTAAAATTAAAATTCTGTTACATTAAAATTAAAATTCTGTTGCATTTGGCTCTCAAAGGATAACCATTACACACACACACACACACACACACACACACGAACCATCGCAGTCCAGTTCAAATGTATACATATACATGGCGAAAAAAAGAATCCTGCAAAGTTACAAAATGGATAGCATAAGGAACAAAGCTGTCTTGTACTGGACTAATCGGCATAGGATGTGGTGTCTCGGTTTGATTGTGACATCTCAGAACTGATGGGTTTTTTTTCCCCCAGAACACTCTATTTTAGTGCTGCTAATTTTTACAATAGACTGAAATGTAAAAGAGAATGTCTTAATAATTTATTGAAGTTTATTCTAGGGAACAACCACTTTCCTTTATTGTGATTTATTGTTGGCTTTTGACCCGTGGTTCCCTTTTTACTTGTAAGATAAAGAGGACAAGAAGAAGAGCAAAATTATCCATGCAGATTTTGGTGCTCACACAAAAGAGATAAATCATTCATTCCTGGCATTTAGGCTTCTATCCTTTTCCCAAATTCTACTTGTTTTATTCAGTGGTGGGATTCAAAGTTTTTTACTACCACTTCTGTGGGCATGGCTTAGTGGGCGTGGCAGGGGAAGGATAGTGTAAAATCTCCAGTCAGAGGTGGGATTTGCCGGTTCTCCAAACTACTCAAAATTTCCACTACCGGTTCTCCAGAACTGGTCAGAACCTGCTGAATACCCACCTCTGGTTTTATTCTTGAATAATGGTGCTATGGATCATCCACTTGCATTTTGAATCACATTCCACCCTCCAAATCTGGATGACCTCCACAGCCCTAGGAAATGTTACAAAAAGGGCAAATAGTTCTTTTCCCTAAATTTCACATTTTTTACAACAACACATTGTAGGGTGTTCTAACAAACACATGAAGCTCAGCTCTCTCTAGTTGATGGTGATGTTCTCCCAGACATACATCCAGATGCATTACTGATCCATCTGCAGAGTCTACTATAATCGTGGCAAAACACAGTTTAATATATTTGAGAGCCTGGATAGTTTGGCTGCCAGCAGTTGCTAGTTAGTTTAGTTCATGCTGTTGTGCTATCCAAGATGCACCACAAGGAGGCGAACTAGCTTCACACCCTGGAAGGCTGAATGCCCAGATGTAAGAAGACATATCAATGATCCCACAAAAAAGGCGCCTGCATGTTTGTGTGTTTTAACTTGTCAAAATAAAAATGGCTGTTTTAAATGTTGCAACCATGTTGGATTCCTGTTTTGCAAGCATTATTTTTATGGGCAAATAAGGAAGGAGAATTGTGCAGGTGGCAGTGCTAAGACCCTCTGAAGGTGGGAAGCCAAAGGAGTCATCAGGGCCATCAGCTCAACAAAAGTTTCACTGGACTGTGAGCAAAACCATAAAAGACCTTGCAGTTCCCCCCTCATATTGAATAAAATAATGAAGGAAATACTCACCTGGGCTTGTTATGGT